GGTGATGTTTGGCGGAGGTTCACCAATTGGAATACACTCTAATGTAATACTGGGACCACCTTCAACAACAACTTGATCACCACTGACACTGACGAATTCTGGATCATCTGTACAAAATAAATTAATAATTTAGTGAATTTTGTAATCAAAACGGATATATTTCTACAAGTAGCTTTGCAGTATTAATCCCAATAATATTTGTTAGTTCTAGCTCATCAATAAAGTAAGGAAAACCAGTACCTAAATTAGTACATGAAATTTTTGTGACACGTTAATTTCGCGAATTTCGTGATATAAAAAACATCGCCAAATTAAAATGACGCGAACAACAGTAGTGTCGCGAGCATAACATGACGTGAAAATTAAGAGACTCATATTACGTCAAGAATCAAGAAAGAGTGAGTTTGCTACCACCGAGACATTTACAAAATCTTACCACTGGACAGTGGAAAAGAAGTAACGTTGAACCCCCACTAACGGCCACCTCTCTAGAAGGCCACTTTTCTTGGTCCCGGAGGAAATTCCATATATTCACTCCTATTATAACCTCTCTACAACGGCCACCTCTACACAACGGCAACGGCCACTAAAACGCGTCCGAACTGTCAACAACGGCCAGGTAATCAATTACTAACGAACGGTGAATTCAAAACCACACTTCTTTATTGGAAAAGGTTACCAAACTTGATCCGTACTGGGTGGTGTTGGACTCTAGGCGATCTGTTTTTATTTAGTTTTTGTTTCATTGATATATTTTGATTGTTTTACGTATAGGCTAGAATAAGCATTTTTAAAAAATAAAATTGTTGTTACCCTGGGACAAACAGGTGTCATACCACAATCCTACCTCCCCAAAATGGCCACCTCTCTGAACTAAGACGGCCACATTCCTCTGTCTCTATCGACCACTGAGGGTACGCGTACTATCTTAAATATTCTATAAAAGCTCGCAATATACAATCATGAATAAGAGCGTACTTTAAAATCACCATGTAATCTATTAGAGAAATTCGACAGAAATGTTTATTTAGAAATGCCATCAGCTACGAACGAACCGACCAAAACACAACCTTTATCACTCCCTTGGAAACTGAATTCACAAAGTAATACACACCAAACAACCGCAGGATATAAAGATCCGTTAAATTTATGCCTTGTCAGAATGCAAATTGCTAAAACGTTTTCTTTTCGACGCTACTGATCATAAACTTCAAGCAATGGCTAACTTATGAAGATCTATTTGAAAAAAAAAAATGCATTCAACATTTATGATGAGCTGACACCTAGGGTTCATTATGTTATGCATCGTGGACATTGAAATAGACAAGTGACTAAGAAAGTCGTCAGCTTGAAATCTAGGAACAATTACAAATTTTAATATATACTGATGCATACCCTCGTACTTTGAAACAGAAGTCGGCTTAAGAGTGCACGCTCCTTGTCACAAAGACGACCAAAAAGGAAAGAAATAGAACTTAACCCGAGATGCAAAGACTTACCAGTTTGAGTACTTTGAGTTTCAGAGGTAAATGTACAAGAAAGAAATGCAGCTTAATGGTGGACTCAAAAATTAATCACAAAAGAGCACGATTTATATTAAAATGGCAAACAGATAACAACAACGGAGTCTGTAAGAAATATAGGAAACTTGAACTTAACTACTGCTGAAGCAAAGGTTTTTTTTAATTTAGTACGTCCTTTAAAGTTTCATATTGAGTTAGGGTATCGTAATAAAGGCTAAGGTAGCAGTTAGTAATTATAGTAATTGGACCGAGTGGAGTACAATTCAGGGAGTAATCGTGCAAGTAATTTCAAAATCGGACGAGCGCGAAGCGGGAGGCCGATTTGAAATGACAAGCACGATTACTCCCTGAATTGTACGACACGAGGTCCAATTACTAATTAATCGTACCTATAACAAATGTTGGAATTAAAAATGTCTTTTGAGAACTTCTTTTGAACGAAAACGTCCGTAATGCTAGCGTTCTTCATAAGTTTTGAAAACTGTAGGAAACAATGCGAAGGAAGCCATTGAAACGAGCATTGACGTGTGAATCACGTGGGTATCCAATTACCGGTATCCAATTACGAAAAGTTCAAATTGGACACCTGTAATTGGACACCCACGTGATCGCGCGCCGATTACGCGACAAATAGGCGCCCAGAGAACCAATCGCGATCGAGAATTTTGTTATAGATACGATTAAAGTGTTAATCGTATCTACAACGAAATTGCCGATCGTGATTAGTTCTCTGCTCGCCTATTTGCCACGTAATCGACGCGCGATCACATGGGTTTCCAATTACTGGTATCCAATTTAAACTTTTCGTAATTCGACATCTGTAATTGGGTACCCACGTAATTCGCATGTCATTTGTGCGCGCTTTAATGGCTTTCTTTGCACGCGCTCCATACGTTTTCGCTCAAAAGACAATTTCATTCCGATATTTTTTATAAGAAAAAGAAGCGGTTTATTAAAACATTTAACCAAAAAATTGCAATAAGACCGTCCGTTTTCGTAAAAACATATTAAAAGTTTGTTGACGACGTTTCGACGTTTGGCTAACGTCATTATCAAGTCAAAGAGTAAATGATAAAAAATGTTTAAATTCTAAAAAGACACGAGGTGATGAAATGTTCTTTTAAGAAGGCTGAACAAAGTTTTTGATACCTGTGTTTCATTAACCTTTTTCTCTAAAACCCCTAATCTTAGGGTCGCCAAAAATGGCAGCAAGCAAGTTAACGACACAAAACTTAGTTTTTTGATAGTTAAGCAGACGTGTGTGCCGTTGCCATGGCAACATGAATAAATATAAACGGGCATTTAAAATCGCTTTTGTCGATTTTGTAGAAAATCTAGTCATTAGATTTTCTTTATAATTTGCGTCCAACAAGCTTGTAACGACACTCACAAGTTAACACCAGTTTGATAATAATTTAACAGAGAGATCTTTAATTATCCTTAGTCGAAGTTTCACTGGAATGTCAAGAATTTCCTTTATTAAAGTTCATTTTTTTTTTCAATAATCCAGTTACTTATTTCCTAAAGTAATTTCGTGCCAAATTTCGTGAAATTCTAATCAGTGGTTTTCGAGGAAAAGGCGTATTTCCGAGGAAGCAATTTTTCATTCAATTGCAATTTTTTTACTTACTACGCATGTGCTACATTTAACTGGGTTATTTCGACGGGTTCTTTCGGTAACAACGAAAAAGCTGAGAATTGCTGGGTTCCTTGCATCATCACCTTTTCTAACATATCTTTGTAATAAAAGACTAACACCATCAATACACTGCGTTCGATTATAGAGAAAAATAGCACAGATAGTGCGGGTGTTGGGTAAATAAAATGATCGCTCCATTGACGGCATGTTTGTTTTCTGCAATCCTTATGCGTGCGCTGAATGGCATCAGCAAAAGCGCGAGTGAAAACTGTGTTTGGCCAACTTAAATAAAGAGTTTTGCGCGAATGGAATCAGTCTACGTGTTGAGACTAAGATTGCGCTCCTTGATGAAAAGCATCTCGTAGACAAGACAATCAAATTTTCCTTGGCACTTTTTTAGATTGCGGAATTGGCTTTCTTTGAGGAAGCTTGTATCCCCATGGGCGGTCGAAAAGTGTTCACCGATCGCAGAGTTTTATCTTCAACAATACGTCAGTAGAGGTGTCGAGCTGTAAAGCCGACATAATCTGAATCACACAGATCACATGCAAAAGAGTAAACAACACATTGTTGATTTACGATTGGAGGCTTGATTTCTCTGGGCTTGAGGTCTTGTTCCAATTTTCTGCTGATAAATACGGGTTGTAGTGTAATACCAATCTTGTGACTGAGATCACGCATTTGCGTTTTAACTGCGTTAGCTGATCTTTGATCTTTCAAGGGCAAAATCACTCGCACAACGCTGCTGTCTTCCTTGTTTTTCTGTCTCGTGCCAAATGAAAAGCTCTGAATGGTTTTGGCAATGGTAGAATTAATCATTGCCAAGGGATAATCAAGTCGAGTAAAGAACGTAGTCTAGTGCATTCTTGATTGAAGGCTTCAGTCGTTGAGGATAGAGCACATGCACGATGGATCATTGTTTTCAGCAAGCAATTTTTATAGCGCTTGTCTGTGTAGCTTTGAAAATGCAGCAATCGCGCGATTGCTTCCTGAATTGTACTCGACTTGGTCCAATTACTATTACAACAATTAAAAAATCCTAGGCATAAAAGAACACTTTTTTTTTCACACTTCAGTTTTCACACTTTTAAGGATTTTAATTTTAATGTTTTAGCCCCACAAATAATCAACAGCAGATCTGAGAATTTTATCTATTTCAACTATCGATGTAATTAAACAAAATTAAATCTTTTATAAGAATGATTTTTATCCTTTAATTGTAGCTTCTTAATTATTCTTAGCATTTTTATCGTTTTATTTAGTACGACTCCACAAGCTTGTTACCCTTGAAATTTTTTATTGTGTATAAATAAAAGTTGTATGTGTCTATGTATGCATGCATCCATGCATGCATGCAATAACATATGTATGTGTGTATGTCTATATGTGACACGTTAACGTTGTTAATACTTACAGAGAGAACCTCAACAGTCCTTTATGTGATAAATAAGTAATCGCAAGTGCTCTTGGACAATTAAGGGTTAGTTTCACTTGTATGAAAACTTTGAAAGTACGCGTGTAGTTAATCCTTAATTGCCCTCGGGCCCATGCGATTACATATACAATCGATTAAAAAAGCTTAGGCATAAAAGAACTTAATACTTACAGAGAACCTCAACAGCAACTGAGTCCTCCAGTTCCCGTTTGAAGTTATATGTGTTAAAAACGGCGAAGACGTAGACATATTCATCATTTCTTGTGACATTCTTTATCACCAGCGTCGCTGGAAGATTTGCTTCATAGTCAGAGTTAAAAATATTGAATGTGGGACCGGAACGCGATGCAATTCGGGTGTTTTGTGATCCATCGGGTCTCTCTCTGTCGATAATGATCGCAAAACTTGAACAATCAGTGAAATTCCAAACCAGGTGAACTTGTGTACTGTTGACTCCTTCAACCACAACAGTAGGATCGGCGGGCCTTCTTATGAGATTGAATGATTCTGAAATTACACAAGAAAATCAGCGTACTTTCTTGTCTGCAATCAGTCGCTATTGCGTACATATTAATATATAGATTTAGGCCAGCCTAAAAGCGTAGCTCCTGGGCCGGGTTGTTCAGAGCCAAATTAAGCTACCCAGGAAAAAGTAGAGTTTTGATTTGAGTTTTGTAACTTTACGTTGAGGTTTTCCGTATATTGTTTAGCCTTCTGTTTTGAGTTTTAATAATCACTATATACACAAAACAAAGCAGCAGAAAACATTTGTAAAGAAGAAAAAGTTATAATTCGGTTAAGTTTTAATCCTGGGTTAGCGTTAACCGGCTTCCGAACAATCCTGCCCTGTTTTCAGCAAGTTAACCTCGACGAGCTGTAAACTTGAGCCCGCGATATGGTCACGTGATACTGGTCAGCGGATACGTTGTTTTGACAGGTGTCAATTGATCATAATTTGGATGTCCAATATCAAAGAAGTACACGGTAAACCAAGGCTGCATATCTCTGTCAACCTATTATTTGGAGTATGGCTGCCATGTTGCGCGACTCCGTCGTCGTCGTCGTGCGTACGCGCCCACTAGCAATACCGCTAGCCATGATAACCATGAGAAAATCAACTCATGGGTTTCTTTTTCTTTCCTATATGAGTATGGGGCTCCGCTTGGTGGCCCTTCGGGCCGCCGGAGCTCCGCTATAAATTGCGAACGTAGTTACCTTATAACAACTGAAATAGTGCAATTGGAAAGAAGAAACAGTGATATAATTTTCGAGCTTCCATGTCCTTACCAGGCTTACAGACGTTCCCACATTATTAACGAAATTATTAAGAACTGACTAACGTGTTTCAAGCTTCCTCCAGACATTTAGCAAAGAACAGTGCCGGCGATTTTCTTTTTCGCTATAGAACTTCCTCAATGGCCTTCGACGTAACACGTTTCGGTAAATTTTTGATAACCAAATTTAACAGAGCATTTGCAAGGTAAGCAATGTACAATAGTCCCTTGTGACTAATGTAGTGCAGTAGTTTTGTTTGTGCGGCCGAATTCGATACCCGATAAACTCGCTGGAAGCAACACCGGTCGTTTCGGGTTTCTGGGCCTTTTGCTAGGGAGCTGTTTTCTTACAACTTGATAAAATTCGGGCAAAAAAATATTTATTGGGTAGTCCATTTTATATGCTTTCATTGATATCTAGTTTGTATTTGAAGAATTGAAATCTGCGTACTGAATGACAATGTTTTTTTAGTTAAGGACACCCGCGAAGGTATAGGGAGGAGATGACATTCTGAAATTATTTTGTACCTCTACATTATATATAACTTATTAGTACATGTAAATGCGTGACGATGGGTGCAATGTATTAAAAAATTTTCCACTGAATCCTATTTTGCCGAGGATTATTCAAAGGAAATGTAAAATTGTGTTACACCAGAACAGAATTCAGGTAAATCATCAAAGACACTAAAGATTGTTGTTTACCAGCGACAGTAACAGTAACACTTTCACTCTGTCCTGTTCCTGCTGTGTTACTAGCTACACACTTGTAGATGAACACTCCACCGGTTGACATTGTTCTGTTCCACATTCCATGACTGTTACTACCGTCAGTCACCAGTGTATCATTCTCAAACAGTTGATAACTATGTACTGTAGGGCTACCATCAGCAGAGCAGGTAAAGTTGATCACTTCAGCCTGGCAGACTTCGGTCTCACTTGCCGCAAATTGGAAATTCTCTGGTTTGTCTACAACAATAAACAAAAAAACAAAAACAAAAACAAAAAAAGCAAAAAAAAAAAAACATCGAGAATAAAACCAGTGTATAATAAGTTTACTTTGTAACCCTAAATAATGCAAAACGTACGGTGAATAGGTTCTCTGCCTGTGTTTGAGGTCATTTCATTTTCCGAAACATTTAGCGGAACGATGTGTTTATTCACTCAGAAGGACAGTCTCAACTCATTTCCTGAACAGTTAAGAAAATTTAAGGTGGCTCTGAACCGCGTGTACAGAATTCTTTTAAACTTTGTCAAAAGTTGCATTTTATCATGCTTATCAAAAGTTGATAATAAATAAAAATTTCACCGCGCCGTTTTTGAATTATAAGCCCCTAAAGCTGTAATAAGGGTGTTTTTAGTAGTTCACACTATTACTCCGGTAACCTATTGTGTCACGAAAATGATGACAACGTGTTCACCAATGATTGGGCAGTTTTTTCATACTATGATTATAGCATCAAGTACTGAAGAGTGGTTTTAACGAGCCATCAAAATCTAACTGCCAGAAACTGTTTTGAGCCACCTTTAATGCGCAGTTTGGTTTTGAAGAAATGCAATATTTTTTATACTAGCTCATACACCTCGAGCATAAAAAAAACCCCGGTATTTTCCATAATCAATACAGGTAAATTGCACGTGCATGTAATAGTTAACTTACACTGCACAAAAATCCTAGCCATCTCTGATGCATTACCACACTGATTACTGGCTTCACACATGTATGCTCCAGCTTCAATCCTGTTAATGTTTGTGAACACCAGTTCTTTTCCATTAATACGCATATGACCACCAACCTTGATCCAAGACACCAGTGATGGGGGAATTCCAGATGCGTTACATGACAGAGTCACATTGCTACCTTCTATAATTGTTTTATTCTGTATTGGTTCTAGGGACGAAGGCACTGTGAAATTACAATAAAAAAGAAAAAAAAAATACAAGAAGAAACATGAATTTAGCCAAGTAAAAATGTTTCAAAGGGCCATGTTTTGTATTTTTATTTCTATTTTCTTGAATCACTTTTGGAGCTGATCTGATATTTTAAAAATACTTTTGAAATCGATAATGACGGATCCCAGATGGCGGACCGTTTGAAATGAGGTGTCATTTTAATGTCATTTTACGCCTTAAAATGCGTAATATGACTTAATAAATGGCGCATCATTAGAATCAAAAACCGATTTGGATTTTAACATGCCAGGGAAATCTGATTGTCGTTGAGTCTATTTTTTTTTATATCACCAGACTTAATTCCGTGTATAACTTATTTGATGATGTGTACAATGAATTAAACCCCATTTAAAGCTTGTTTTTTAAGGAATTATTGACAGAAAATGCAGGACTCTGTAAGTAAGTAAGTAAGTAAACATTATATTTACCGAGGGTAGTACCTAATAGTGCACAATAACACTAATGGACTTGTGCCCCTCAATCTAAAATACTAATCAGCACTAGCATGTGGTAACCTGGCGGGAAACATAAGTCAGGTGCATAATCAATGGCAGTAAAGAATATATTGTTTACCTTTAACAATAACAGTAACACTTTCACTTTGTCCTGTTCCTGCAATGTTATTAGCCACACACTTGTAGGTGAACACTCCACCAGTTGACATTATTTTGTTCCACAGTCCATGACTGTTACTACCATCAGTCACCAGTGTATCATTCTCAAACAGCTGATAAGTTTGTACTGCAGGGTTACCATCAGCAGAGCAGGTAAAGTTGACCACTTTATCCTGGCAGACTTCTATCTTACTTGTCGCAAATTTGAAATTTTCTGGTTTGTCTAAAAGAAGTATGTATATAAAAAACACTGAATATAAACAGCCGTGTAATTACTTAACTTGTCAATCCTTCATGAGACAAAAGTACAGTTTATGACCCTAAGTAATTGTTGTTTTATGTCTACAGTTATGTACAATGCAAAATGCTGGGACTTTGGTGATTTATATATGAGAGGAAAACGGAGCATTTCAATTTTGAAAAGCTTTCGCGTATCAGCCATTGCAAATTATTTTACTTACACTGAGCACAATATTAAATGGTAGCACGCGCATTTAACATTCTTGGCAAGCTGACGATCAAATATTGACTTTTTGATTGGTGATTTAAACTTGCGTCGGATGAAAACGTTGGAAGTAAGACACTTTTTCTTTTAAAATATGGCATGTTTAGCCATTTTCCTCAGATTTCTGTTCCGTGGCAGGTACCAGTGTTACCTTTAAATGTAAACGTAATTTATTATTCAGCTTAATGGTCGCTTCTGAAGATAGATGTTGAAGTATACCAGCGTCAAGATTTTACGACAAGCTTTGTGTTACTATGATTTTGCCACAGTGTACTTTCTATTCTTAATGAGCTCTTTTGCAATTCGAAGAACTGAAATAAACCCTTTAAATTTCTTCTGAACGTCTATTTAACTATATTTTGTTTCCCAGGATGCTGAATATATTGACATTGAATTCATTTAGGTTCCCACTTAAAAAAGTCAAAAAATTAGAACTACTATTTGTTGTCTGCGTGCACAAGATTGTAGTTTTTAAACTCGTGGATACGCGAAGCGTAGAAACGTGTTTGTTGCGGGGACTCCGATATGCAAATGCGTCACTCACTCACTCACTCACTCACTCAC